TTTTTTTTTTAAGTCCAGGAGGTGACGTTCTTGGTGTATTTTGATAAGGCCTTTTGACACATTAGGCAGTGTTAGAGACCGCAGGGAGTTCCAAAGCAGTACCAGAGGAGCCGCCCTGCAGCACAGCCCACCTTCCCACACAGCCCTTCCAAATTACTGACGTCGCTTTCAGTGAGACAGAGCACTTGGGATGCACAGCTCCACTGGTGCAACAGCCACTCAATATAAAAAAGGCGAGGTGAGTCATGAACGTGTTTTTTCCTGGAGCTCAGGTTCCACCCCAGCCATCTCACCACGGCACCGTGCCCAGCAGCCTCTGCCCATGCAGCAGCGATGATTCAGCAGGACTGAACACAGGCGCTGCCCTGCAGCTCACACGCTGCTGGCCACACCGATGTGCATGGCACCATTCTGTGGAAGGAGGAGTTTGCCACTTTGCAGACCCATCACATCTTCCCTTCCACCTCACAGCAAGGCTTCAGCCAGGCAGACTCCAGCACACGGAGGTGGTGGCTGCAGGCCCTGCAGTACTGCAGCAGAGCACCTTCCATGGAAGGGCTCATTTCTGTCCATCTCCTGCAGCACAGGCTGCCAAGCAGGCAGCCACATTCACGTGCTGGTATAGGTACCCTGCTTCCCAGGGAGTACGGTGCCCAGGCTTTGCACTGCTTCTCTTCACCCCAGGTGATCTCAATACAAATGCCCTTTTGCCTTCACTCCTGCTCTTTTCCACTCATGCGACCAAGCACATATCCTTGGGGCTGTTGAGATACTGAGAACAGCATGAACAGCCAGACTGGGCCACTGCCATGGTTCATCTAATGCCAGTGACACCATCCCTCTGCCATGCACATTTGCTATTTGTATCTTCAGTCGAGAGTGCAACATACAGCTGATTTCTTCTGGACCCCTTCCTGGTCTCTCCACTGCCATTCAGCACTGAGGTTGCAGCCAAACTGACCACAGCTGAACCGACAGGCGAGAACAACCAGCTCATGGGAGCGCTGGAGGCCTGGCCAGGAGCCTGTGGGCACAGCACAGCGCTGCTGCCTCCACACAGCAAGGCCCTGCAGGAGGGCTGGGCGCTGCTTGACTCCACTGAGCATCTTCCTCCTTAAAAAGAACAGCGCAGATTTACAAACGTCAGCATAGCTGTTAAACCGCCATCAGGGATTAAGGGTGCTCCCTGTAAAGTGACCAGAGCCCAGCAGCACGCAATGCCAGGCCCCTGTATCAGTGACCACATCCTCTGCCTCCTACACTGCCACAGCTGTCTCAGCACTTCAGCTTTAATTACTCACATCTCTTTGCTGCATGAGGAAGGGTGGGATGACTGCAATAATCACACAGACTTTCATACAAATTTAGCTCAGTTTACGCAAATATTTGCTGGCTCTTCAGATATATACTGTGCATATACTGCAGTCAGGCCTGCCTGTTTTGTTGTCAATTTGAGGGCAAAAGTAAACTGCACAGAGCAGCACATCCTGATTTGCTGCACACAATGCGCAGCTTGAAGTCCTGGAGCTCTGAAAATGATGGCCTTCTGCACTTCCAGCACATGGCACCTGCCGTGTTCTCAGCACCATGCAGATATCAGCCTTCCTGCCAGCACCCAGCCAACAGGAATAACACGTTTTACGTGCTGGAAAAAACAGGGCAGGAAAAATCAAAGCCCCTGGAAGAGATGGAAGGTTGCCTGGACACTCAGAAAACACACCCACATGTTCATTAGCACTTCCAAAATCAAGCCCTGAAGCACACAACTTCACGCAGACACACCTACTGCCTGGTTCTGGAGCAGCTGCACCCAACCAGCTCCACCAACCAGCCCAGAAAGGACAACTGCAGAACAAGGTGTTCACTCTATCTCAGTGCTGCTCCCCAGCTCTATGTACACTCTGCCCTTCTCCAGCAGCAGCAGACAAACCCCAGGTCCTGCAGGGCTTGCAGCCGCAGGAGGTGCAGCATAGCTGCCAACAGATGGTTGCTGTGGGACAGGTTGGCTGCTGCAGGCAGTCACGCACAGCAGATGCTTCAGGCTCAGGGTGCTGGAGCAGCAGCAGCAACAGGAATGCTGCCACTTGCTTTGTAAATTGAACACTATTGCAGAAATCACTTCATCTTTTGTCTCTCTGTTATTCTTGCAACTGTGCTTCTTGTAAAGGGCTCAGGTTTACCTTGAAAGTGTAGTCACTATATGCTGTCCACATGTAAAATGCTCTTTAAAACAGAATTCAATAATCAAACTTTAACCACACAAGCACTGCTCTAAACTTAACAGGCTTTTTTTGACCAAAAGCCTTACAAAAAAGCCTGAGCTCCATTCCAAGGCTTATATTCTGCACTGCTGGATTACAGCACAAATCCAAAACATGCAGCAGCTGTTACTGCTGCTGTGCTTCCATCGTTCAGCCTGTGATGTCCATGGCAGAAGCTTTCCTCGGGCTAAGCAGCAAAGAAGAGCACGCCAACCCACTTTTTTTTTTTTTTTTAAATCAGCCTTGTGCTATGTGATTAAAGAACAAAATGTAAAATACAATCGACTATTAAATCTGATCACATTTCTATTAATTTCAGGCTTTTCCAGTGATTGTCTCAACTATTTTTTCTTTCTCTCAGCATTATAACCAAGAGCCACGCCACCAGCACAGGAAGGTGAGTTGCAAGGACAATGCTCAATGTTATCAAACATAGTGCATGTGCAAATACACAACCAGAGGGGAGAATTCACATCAGAGCGCTGACAAAACACTGCTTACTTCTGCAGGGTGCCTGTTGTGATGAAACAGGCGGTACGGCTTAATCCCTGAGCGAGATCCCAGCAGCCTACGGACAAGCTTTGATTCGTCCCAAAGAGCCCCGAGGGCTCCAGACAGCAGAAGGGACCTCGGATATCTTTTCAGGGCTGTCCCAGCTCTGACACTCCTTCAGCGCAGGACGCGGGACAGGGGCTGCCCTGGAACAGCCCAAACGTCTGCAGGGAACTCTCCGCTCCCTCTCCCCTTACAAAATCCCTTCGGTTTAACGCATCCGCCAAAGCCACCAAGCAGGAGTCCTGTAACAGCACCGAGCCGGTTTTGTGGAAGGAGAAACGGGCTCTTAGAGATCTGAGATGTAACCGAACGACCCCAAAGGCCGCGCACCGTCCGAGGCGCGGACACAGAGCAGCAGCGTGCCGAGGAACTGCAGCGCACAGCCCGCAGCGCCCAGCAGCCTGCAGCCGATCCCACTGAGGGAACGAGTCGAGCTGACCGCCCCGACAGGAGCCGGGCGAAAGAGGCAGGCTTGCGAACGGCCTTCCGCTGCCGTGAGCGGCTCTGTTTCTTTCTAGGCTTTCCGTTCTGGGCTGAGCGGCGCCGAGGAAACAACCGTGACTGATTCCTCTGCGGGCACCCAGCCGGCGCTCCGGCCCCGCGCTGGGCCGCTCCGCGCTCAGGGATTCCCGACGGGATCCGCTGCCGTTCCGGGCGCCCCGAGAGCTCCCGCCCAGGACGGCTGCCCTGACGGCCCCGCCGCGGTCCCGCCCGGCCGCCGAGCACCTACCGCGAGCCGCAGAGCCCGACGCCGCAGCGGAGCGGTCCCGGCAGCCTGTGGAGCGGAGCGGAGCGGAGCGGAGCGGGGCAGGGCAGACCGGCCCTCAGCTCCCGCCCATCGCGCTGCCTGAGCCGCCCCGCGGCGCTCTGAGGGCTGCGCACCGGCCGGCGGGAGGAGCTTCCCTCGGGTTGTGGGTGTGCGTGCGTGAGGGAAAGCAGCTCCAAGCGCAGGTTGGAAGCTGTGGAGGCTGCGGCCGGGAGCGGCTGCACGGGCTGTCAGGGGAGCGCGTTGCACTGCCCTGCATTGCTCTCCACTGCCCCGTGAGAAACACCGGCGTTGCGCAGCGCGTTTCCAACGCCACACTCCACACCTGCTCAGCGCTCCCTCCGCGAGACACATCGGTGCTGAGCTCTTCCTCGAGGTAGGAGCTGTGGAAATATTGAAGCAGGCTCCTTTTCCTTTTATGGATGATATGGAATTTAACGTGAGTAAGTTCTGGGTTAAAGAAAAAGGTGTATTAAGATTAAATACGAGGTACCGGTCCACACACAGCGCCCCTCTCCGTTCAGTTTCCCGCCCGCCCTGAGGCGCGGCGCACGAACGGCGCGGCCCGCACCGCCCAGCCCGGCAGCGGCGCGCGCAGCTGCGCTGCAGGTCAGAGGTCAGAGGTCAGAGGTCGGGCCGGGCGGCACGGGAGCCGCGCGTGCAGCCGCCGCGTGCCGCTGACGCCTGGCTGGGGTGCTGGCGCCACCTGCCGGGAGCGCGGGGTCGCGACAGCGCCCTCGGCAGCGCCGAGCCTCTACGCCTGAGGGCGGGGAGGCCGCGTCTGCAGCGCTTCCCGCGGAGAGGAGCGGGGCAGATGCGCACCGCCGCACCCGAGCACGGAACGGCGGCGCAGACGGCGCTCCGCAGGCAGAAGTGCGGCTCAGCGTGCTGAAAGCGGCCTCGCAGGCCGCACAACCACCAGGCGGTAGCGTGGCCGAGTGGTCTAAGGCGCTGGATTTAGGCTCCAGTCATTTCGATGGCGTGGGTTCGAATCCCACCGCTGCCAAGAAGTTTTGTCTCGCCTCGGCGGCGGCTCCTTTTCGCGGCCGGCAGCCGCCCGGCGGGGCGCGGGGCTCCCGAGCATCACCTCGCAGGGCGCCGTGCCGCGCCGGACACAGCGGCGCTCACCGCCGCCCTCTGGCTTCGGAATGCAGGCGGGGAGGCGGAGTGCGGCGCTCGCTACGCGGCCACGCGTCTCCCCGTGCCCTCACCGCCCCCCGGTCACAGCCGTCTGTGTGCCCCCGGCTCCGCGCCGCCTCCTTCCCGCCCATTCTCGCACTGCGCTCCCGACTGTTCCCTCCCAGCGTCCCGGGGGAAGGGAAGGCGGTGCGTGGGAGCGCTTTGAGGCGAGACAGCCCAGCCCTGGGAGACGTGGCGGTGCAGAGCCGCAGGGAGGCACCGCACCGGGTTCACGGAGCTTCACGTTCCCTTTTATTTTCCCTCATATGCAGTGACAGCCAATTCACAAAGGAAGTTCACGCCGTGTGAGCTCCGTGCAGCCCACAGGTGTGATTCACAGCCGGGAGCGCTCGGCGTGCTTCCTCAGCACGTTGCTCAGCTCCCCGCTGCTGCACTGACTCCATCTGCTTTCCGCCGCTGTTCTCCATCGGTGAAGCACTGCGGGCTGTGCCCCGTGTTCCTTTTGCAGCTCCTCGTGCACTCCAGCAGTCAGTTTGGAAAGATGTGTGACTTAAACGTGTCTTGGTGATGGACTTTGGCTGTAATTGTTTACACTGTTGGTGGTGTTCAGACTTGTTCTGTTTTTAATCTAAAATAAGCGCCTACGTATTCACTGGGGCCTGTCTGTCGTGGAGCTGATGTTCCATGGGAGCAATTCTGCAGAGGGCACGTGCAGTCTGTGTGAGTCAGTGCTGTGTTTCCTTAAAAAAGTGCAAAACTGAAAGGTCATCAAATCTTAAAGAAAGAAAAATCAAACTTAAAATCACAAAGAACAAAAGCATCACTCTGGGGAAGACGTGCTCGTTCCGGGCCTCTGCTCTGGTTTTGATGTAATGCTCCACAGAATCAGCGAATGCAAACTTCTCCGGGCTGTAGCCCAGCTGCCTGCGGGCCTTGTCGATGCTGAAGGTGTGCGTTGTGGAGATGTTCTGCACCTGTCGGCAAAGGAGCCAACACACCAAGTGTGAGCGCACAGCGGAGCTGAACAAAGGCTGTGCACAGTGGCAAAGACCCACTAAAACAGAATGTAAAATTGTATTTAAAAATATGCATCCAAATCCTGTTGACTACTGACATATGTCATGTAGTCTTTTTGTTCACCCAACAGGAGTGTGCTGAGAGTCCAAAGAAGCAGTACAGGCTGCACAGCACAACCTACTCCTGAAAACAAACACAAAGTGTTCTGCACTCTTATTTATGTAAGGACACCGTACAGGTCATCCCTAGGGTGCCTGAAGGGTCTTCAAATGTTAGGTCCCAGCTGTACTCACATGGTATGTGTGCAACCTGAGGGAACAAGGGAGCTTACAAACAAACCTGTACCTCATTTCTGGTCAGCAGAGGTGACAGCTCAACCAATGGTTTCAGAATCAGATGAAGATGCTCCATGACTGTGGCTGCAGAACAAAAGATTTCTACTTGAGGTAAGAATAGCCAGTTGCTGTACCATTATGATTGTGGCATATCAAATACCATATTTGATAATGAAGGATAATCCTGTGCCTAAGAGCTCAGGGCACCATTAATGCTGGCAAGGAGCTGGGTTTCAACTTTCTTGCTCTAGCCTGATTTTAGGGTGTGTGTCTCACAGGGGTTTGAAGGCTGTAACTGGGCTGGCACAAAGAATTTGAAGCTGCACATCTGGTAAGCCCTATAAACAACAACCAACTCAAACCATCTGTTTTAGTGTGACTTAACTCACAGGTCATTCTGGTTTCAGCACAATCAGCTGAACTTCACGCAGAACTGTTGCATACAAGATGAGTTCACAGCATATTTTATATGTGAAAACAAGAACTGTGGCCACATTAAGAAAAAAGAACAGCCCACAATATCATATTACAACTGGGAAGAGGGTTGCTTGACTGGACAGAGAAACACTGATAAAATATTTTTACCTGATGCATAAACTAAAGGAGTAGGAATAGGTATCCATGGCTTACTGCAACCTAATCTTTCAAACTGAAAGAGATTAAAAAAAAAAAAAAAAAAAAACAGTAAAAAAACAGTAGAGGAGATGGAAATATTTACTGATAAAGCAGAAAATTTAATAATTGCTGTTACTACTTGATTTTTCATTTTTAGGGGATTCCAGTTACGTGTCAAGCAGACACTGTGATTTTCAAGTGGCAGTCTTTAGAAAATTAAAAAACAGGTTTATGATAATTGAGTTAAATATCATGGTGTGCTGTGCTGATACAAAATTTAATATCCTGACATACTTATGGTTTTAAGCACATCATTAGCAGCAAAATGAATTTCTGAAAATACTGGATATTAGAGTTATTCTGTATTTTCAGAGTCATAATTTGAATTTATATTTTTTGTCCACCTAGGATAGCCACTATTAATAGACAAATGCCCAAGAAATGAGGATGATGGCTATCCAAAGGAGGATACTGCTTCAGAAGATCCTTTTATCTCAGTGAGTACAGTTGCTTTCAAGTGATATTTCAAGTAGGCTTTGTTACAGCACTAATCAAAATGAAATTCAAGCAAGAATTGAATGCACATTGAACCCAAATTTTGCACTCAAAGCCAGAGTTGTGTATAGTAAAATAAATTAATATATTTAGAGATAAAGCATACAGTGTACGTACAAGTGGAGCTAACCATTCAAAAAGGTTGAATTTTTCACCATCGTGAATGAAATACACCTGACCACTCTGTTAAACAGATAGAGAAGAGACAGGTTAGTAAAAATAACACTGCATATATGTTGACTTCTTTACCTTACTCCTTATGAATAGCTCAAAGACTATGTAGGAAGAATAGCTTAAAGATTATATAGAAATATACAATATACATGGATGTACATACAAGCCAACAAACTGCACTATTTCCATCATTTTTTCTTCTGTGTGTGATGAAATTCACTGTCAAATGGACAAGCAGTTTGTATGACTAACATACGTTGGTCTTACAGATTTACGTATACAGAAAGACTGAACAGACTATATAGATTACCAAATGCACTGAAAGTAGTGCTATAGATAACTTTTGCTGTTGACACATATTTAGAAGATGGTAGGACGTGTTCTGGCCCCAGTCTAGCTAAGAGTCACTGAAACCCATACGGTTACATCTGTGTAACAAAGCTGCAAATTATCTCTTAGCAGTTTGTTTTCAGAGTTTTAGAAAAAGTAGTTTAATCTACTTTTCCTTTCCTAATCTACTTTTCTGACATCAAATATTCTTTTCTCATCTTCCAGAAATGGCAAATGAGTATCATAAAAACACAAAGATGTAGCTATTCTTGGAGAACTGAATATTCCAGCTCAACACACTGCACAGCCAGTGCTGCCACTGCTCACACTGTTCATGGCACATTTGTCAGTTAAAAAACACAGACAACACAAGCCAAAGGATCACAGTATTGCTACTGTAGTTACTGCAGTGCAGGATACAGTGGCAGGATCCACAAATGAAAACTAGTGTTTTCATTGTTTACTTACAGCTATGTAGTTCTTCTCAGGAGTGAGAGCTTCAGCAGCCAGAATTTGAGCTTGTACAAGGTTCTCTACATGCACCCAGTTCATTTTAGCAGAAGGATCCCCAAACTTGAAATTAAGTAACCCTCTTTCAATATTCTTCTGTAGACATAAAACAAACGTGAAACCAAAGCAAGAAATAAGACTGGAAATAAGATATGTTGCTCTATCTCCTTTCATCAGTATTTTGGTTTAAGTTGTATGCAAGCAGGCATTTGAAATATCATAGAATGGCCTGACTTTTATAATTATAGTAAGCATTACACTATAAAGCTGGACTTTTATGTGTTTGTATTAAAAAAGAGGCTTTAAGTATTATGCATTCCTTATAGATGTCATACAGCGTCTGACAAAAAAGTGACAATATCATCAACAGACAGTCAAACTGTTAGACTGATGCCAGATAAGAAGGTTGGTCAGTCTGTAATACAGATAAGTGAAGTGATGACAGAAAATTCTGTTGATTAACAAATGGAAGTACATACTGCTAGCCTTGGCAGATGTCTTTGCTCTTCTGGTCCATAAATTCCTGGTGGGCGAAGAACACATGTGTGGAGTACTCCACCTCCTGAGAAAATTGGTAAAACAATTCAAGTTTCACATGACTTATGTTATCACTGCATGAGCTAAAGAATGCTGTAGCATAACTTACTCTAAATAAATTTGCTTCATCAGCTTAAAAATACCACACACCAGAAGGTGCTGAACTAGTAGATGGATATTGCTGGCAAATCAAAACATGCAAAATAGCAAGACAGGATTCAGAAAAATCCTGCCAGCAATACTTCATGGGGACATGGGGAGACTCAGTGGTCTCTAAAGGTTCCTTCCAACCCAAACCATTCTAAGAGTTCTCAAAGCACTGGCATAGCTAAATTCCTAGAAATTACTAGATATTTCCAAACTTCTAACTAACCAGTCCTTTATCTCTGTGCCAAAGCAGTCGCTGAGAGTGCCAACTGTGGGGATGAATTTGCTGAAGTGAGCAAGTCATTAGTAAGAAAGTGGAATGAAACCAAACTGATCTCTTAGAAAATTATTGCAGGGAAACAGTGTCTCACTGTGTGTGCAAGATAGAGCTGAAAGGCTCTTAGTAGTAGGCACATCCTTCTCCTGCTAGAACTGCTGTGTAACTTCTTTGATAACCTCAGTGGGAGAAAGTAAGGGCCACTGTAAAAATCCAGTCATTCCCAAGTGTAGCAGTTGACTGGTTTGTCATGTGCTGTTCTTAATAACTCTTCTTAATATTACTTGAAAACCTGCTAATTCATGCTGATAGCACAGGATCTAATTGAGATGTTTGGAACAGTGGCTGGCTAAAACCCCACTGAATCACTTTGCTCCTTTGCACAGGTAAATTAATGTGAGTTTCACTGAGAAACACACAGCTGTATATACTGCTCCCAAAATCAGAGCATCTTTGATATGTTGTGCTGCTAAGAAAAAATAAGAAAAAAAAGCTTTTTGACAAAATAATTCTATTGGTGTGAAATGCCAATCAATGACTTGATATCTGTTTATAGCTCTCTGCAAGTATCAGGTGCAGAAAGTCTTTTTTCTAAGTTGCCCACAGCTAAATTTAGCTCTGTATCACTTGTTGGCATGGCATCATGTTGCACTTTACATTAATTTGCTTTGTGCTGGCAGTTATAGTATCTCACAGGTGAGCTTCAGTATTCAAGTGTACAACTGCCTTCCTCAACACGGAAAACTTTGGGAAGCACTAATAAATAATTCTAGGCTGTAGTATCAAGTGCCTTATTCAGCTTTTAATATATAGCTATAAGGGAAGGGGAGAACAATTTCATCAGCATTCATGTTCTACTTATACTGCATATTGCAGCGACATAAACACATTATTGTTTAATTTATTGCTGTCTATCTTTTCAATGAAGATACTGAGCTCACTGCTGCCATGCCAAGACCTTTTGTTGGCGCTGTGAGAACTACAGTTAAAAGTGATTTTTAAGAGAAAATCCTTCAGTTTGTGAGAAGGGTAGGTAACTTGATTTCATAGCTGCTGGACACTCTTGTCTAATGAAGGACTGATACAGGATGCAGGATGTTAGTGAGGCACGGGAAGAGGAGGAGCACATTTCACTATGAATTCATGCTAACAGAACAGTACCTGCTAGTGGAGTTCCATTAGCTGCTAGTACCATTTGTTCTGCAATTGATTTGGTTCTGGAATAATGATCAACATGCTACAGAGAAAAAGCAAACAGGTTTGTATCTATTCTTGAAATGGCAGAACAGAGAGGCAGTGCTTCTCTGCTCCCTTTTACATAGCAGATGGCAACAAACACCTCAAAATACAGAAGTTTTGGGATGCTGGTTTAGGATAAAATATATATGCAGATTGCTAAGGCAAGTAAGTGTTTTTGTTTATGCAAACCCAGTTAATTAATTTCAGCCCATTTGAGAAGTAATAAATATATGTATGCTTTGAATGCTGCCAAGAATGTAATTGATCACTGCTTAGTAATCTGGATTTCTTTTTCAGGTAACGGAAAAGTCAGGAGCCAAGTTTTTAAGGCATCATGATTGGTCTGTATTCTAGAGTTTGTTCTCTTGTGGCACTGCCTCAGAGAAAATATTATTCAATATATTATATTATTCAAAATGCCAGGCTTTTTTGTGGATAGAAGAATGTAAACAAAGAGGAAAAGTGAAAAAATAGTACAACCCAAATACCTTTTCTATAGGAAAATATGGCACAGTTTCCTCATCACCATCTTCAATAGGAAGCCCTCCAAACACCACATTTACTGTACTGGTGTATATCAATCTAGAGATGTTCCTTTGTTTGCAAGCTGCACCAATATATAAAGTAAAGTAGTTCAGTGGAAGCTTGAACAAAATAGAAAAAAACCTGTACGAAGGGGAGATGTGCTTCTTGAGAGAAACTTGTTAGATTTTCTGGCAAATCTTAGAAGAGCAAATCCTTCCATTTTATTATTGGGTTATTTAAGACACAAAGTATATGGAAGACAACAGTTAAATGGAAAATATCAGTTCAGAACCAAGTGCTTTATTATTCTGCATCTCCTAATTTAGATAATGTAAGGCAAAGGATGCCTTTGGGGTGGCTGCTACCAGACTGGTGAGAGGGCTTCAGCCCCAGCCGGGTTGGTAGCTAGAAGACTTTCTGTTCCAAGGGCTGCCCACGACCTGTGCACATGCTGTAATACAGCAGTGAGGCTTACAGCTACAAAATATGCATGGAAACTGTTAATGTCTTACATGCATACAGATTCTGCCATAATGTCAAACATGATTATGACAAGCTGAAGTGGTTGAACTGTAGTGCTGACTCTCATATCTCACCCCATAGCAGAATCAGGTGTGAAAAGACCCCTGACATGTTTTCTCATCTCCTGTCAAAACTGTGATGTATTTGGTAAAAAAAAAGCAGTTTATGACAACCAAGTAGTTTTTTTCTTAAATGGCATGATACTTTGATATGCCATACCAACACCTACGGCAGGGTTAGATACATACCATCAATGATGAATCTTGTCCCATTGATGTTTACTGTTTCAATCTCTTCTTTGTGCAACTGGGAAAATAAAGAAATGGTGCCCTCTTAAGTAATGATACATTTTAAATTCCATAGGTGGACACTGTAAGTGTCCATAGATAAAAGTAGTGAGTGCTTTGATTAAAGAAATATATATATAGACTGCTGTTTGAGACATCAAGAAGTCAATTATTATTATTTTTAAGGTGTACCTGTATTTTTCTTACATTTTTTACAGACTAGCTTGCTTGAAGGAAAGAGAATCATGGTGTTTCTTCCTATTTCCAATGATTATAAAACTGTAAACAGTGTGTTAAATTATCCACATTTCAGTAGTACTCATTGACCAGCTGGCTCTACCCAGAGGAATTCCAAGTACACATTGCCCAGTTGAAAACATTTTTTAATAAGCTCTTTTATACAGCTAAGATAATTACTGAAATTCATTTTAATTAAATAATGTAAGGAATGTGTGTGTTTTTAACTTCAATCATAAAAACTGTGGATCCCACATCAAGTACATCATTACAGCTTTTTACCTACCAGTGGCAAACAATTAGGACTTGAAATAAAGCAGTTATTTTAATTTAGTTACATAAAATAACTTACAATTTAGTTCAGATTTCACTGCTCCCAGTGACCTTACATGTCGGGGTTCCATTTAAAAGGTTTAAGGAAAGCGTTTTAGAGTGAACCTGCCATCCCTTTTCTGTCCCTTTGTTCTTGCAATGTTCCAAACCAACAGCCCTCCCAGACTGCAGTTAGTGCCTCTAATGATGGGGAAATCATTTCACTACTAGGAAAAGGGTACTGTAAGCAGCCTACTTGTTTGCACAGAGCAGTTGACCAGAACAGCATCATCTGAAGTCAACAGCATCATCTGAAGTGAAAAAATCTAACATGCAATGTTACAAAATCAGGCCTCCCATCCTTAGTGTGGGCAGTCACACAGAAACATACAAAACAATTTGGACTCACTTGCTCTCTTCCTGACATTCCATATGAAGCTACATGAAACACACAGTCAGCCCCTTCACAGGCTGCAAATATGGCATCATAATCCCTGACATCTGCCTGTAATACACATGAAAAGATATTTGGAGCTGAAATCAAAACGATAGGTTAGCATTTGTCATATAACAGGTTAGCACAGAGGGAACACGTGTATGTAATTGCACATAATACATCCTGGGACTGAACACTAGATCAATTTCAATACATGCTGATAATCACACATTTCTTCCGTAGAACTCAAAGAACTTTAAAAATGTTCATTAACCTCTTAACACCTCTATGAATTAAGAAGTGCACTACTCATTGCACAGGTGAATAAACTAAGGCCCAGCTGTGGGGAGTGATGGTCTTGAGGAATACCTTCAGAGACAGGAGATGAAGCAGTACTCTGTGCTGCATATTACAGTTTTCATCGCTCTTCTTATCCAATGTGAATATTATATTCTTGTTGATAAAAAATTGTGTGGGATATTCACACAGTTAAAAATGTCCTTAAAATTTCCAATTATTTGCAGTTGGGTATTTGGATTCTGCGAATACTAGTAAAATGTTATGGAAAAGGCAAATAAACTAATTGACTGTTGTGAGCATGTATTTTGTCATACCTGGATGCACACTACTCCATTAGGAATTTCCCAGATAGGCTTGTGAATATCATACAGAACAACTGAAGCTCCTGAGTTGGCAAGAGCACATCCAAGCTTGTATCCAAAGTAGCCTCCACCTCCCGTCACCACTGCTCTCATGGTTTTATCCTTCAGTGCTCCAGCATTTCCCTTCACTCCAGAGCTAGGGGGTCGGTGCCAGGAATTTGCTGCCCCACTCACTGGAAGTTTTCTGTTGTTGAAATAATGTCCTCTGTGACCAGATGCACACAACAGTTTCTCCTCCATGTTGAAAATTGCTCCATAGTGTTCCCTGATGCAGACAATGCCGGCAAGCTTCATGGTAACCAGCTCTATTTGCAGCAGCAGGGTCTTATTTCAGTGCAACCTAAAGACAAAGCAAAACACTTGGTTCCAAATGTCCAAAGATTCGTCTTTAGAAGACCAAGCTACATTTGGTTGTCTCATGTTATAAAAGATTGGGGATGGCCTTTAGGGGTCATACATGAAACAGGGCCGTACCTAAATCCTGAACTGTCAGGAAAACACTCAACAAATTGCATTTAAGTCTCTATACTTTAAAACCAAGCAATCAAGGCCCAGTGGAACAATGGAACAAAACTGGCCCCGGTGCAAATGAATTTAGTGCTTCGTTTACCTGTCCATGGTTTATTGCAAAGCCATCTGAGCACGCTGATGTTTTCAACGCCATTCTAAGAATCAGCTGAATGTAAATTAAAATACACTGCACTTTTATTATTGGCAGCGGTTGGAGCTGAGTACTTCAGACAGAAAGAAATGCCTGCTACTTATCTGATGTCCTTACAAGGCGGATCAGCACATCTGACCCCTCACTTTCCAGCGCAACTAAAGCATAACAGTTGCAAAGTGACAGAAAAGGAAAAACCCGGTGCACTGAGCAAAAAGTAGCAGCGAAACGATCGGTTTTTAAACAAGAAGAGTCTTTTCCATTCATAAAACAACAGTCGAGGGTACCCGCTGCCCGACACGGCGTGTCAGAGGCCCGCAGGTACTGAGGCAACGTTACCGCATCCCCTCCCCGCGCCTCCATAAAAGATTAAAGGCCACCCGAGCTGCCGCCGCTATTCTCTGCATCTCACTTGCAAATTCGCCCCGGAGAGCGGCGTCGCCGCCACGGAAACCGCTGCTCCCCCGGGCGACCTCCGGGGCCGGGAGCCGGAGCCCGGCCATGGCCCGGCGGCCGGGGCCACCTCTGGGCGCCCGCTGGGGCCGCTGCGCAGCGGAACGTCCCCAGAGGCGCGGGCCGGCCCCGCGCATAACGCCCGGCTGCCCAGCGGGCACCACTCGCCGCGGCGAGTCCCGCAGCAGCCCGGGGTCGCGCTCGTCTCGCAGCGCCTTTGGGACCCTCGGCCCCTGGGGTCCCGCGGCCTCCAGCAGTATTCCCTGAACCCCGCGGCATCCCCGGGACCCCGCGGCAGCAGCTGCCGGTGGTTCTCACCTGCGCACGTCTCCAGCCCGCTGCGGGAAGGCGCTCCGTCCGCCCCGAGCTTCCTGCTGGACGGGATGCTCAGGAATAAAACGGCATCTCTCGGTCACTGTCCGGAGAGTCATTGTTGGGACATGGCTCGGAGAGACGCACAGCATCGGCGACACCTGCGGAACAGCGGCAAATCCCGAAGAGGAAACAATCGCACAGAAGCGGGTCGCGGGGTCCCTGCCCTGCCCTGCCCTGTGGGCAGCGTGTCGGGGGGTCGGGAGCTGCAGGCGGTACAGTTGTCCGCTCCAGGCAAAAACAAACTGAACTTGGAGCACTCTTACCTTTTCCATCACAGCTGTGCCATGGCTGAATGTTCATATTAAATTTTAATCCTTTAAAGACACACTTGCAGTTACGGTAGGGCACAAGTAACTCTAACAATAGCCAGCATAAACAGGCTCGGTAAAGACTGACAGAAGTGTGACAGCTGTTCCATAGCGATACAAAAAGTTGTCTTAAAATTCAAACGCTGGATTTGTATTAACAGGAAATTGATGAAACCAGTTAGCATTAATCAGCAGTACTATAGTACAGATGTAAAAAGCATCTTACCTGAAGTAACAGTTCAGAGGTTTGGCATTCCAGGAGCAGAGCAGCAGGGCTCCCCGCAAACTGCAGCCACGGAGCCAGCGAGTTTCTTGGTTACTCCCTGCTGAGGAACACCAAAACCAAGAGCCCATGGAAGCTCCTCTCACTGGGCTTCAGCCAGCTGGCTGAGCTCTGCTCTGCAAAGTGTCGGTGTCACCTGGGATGCAGTCCTGAGCCATCAGTCTAATAAAAGTGATATATGCAAGATTCATAAATAACTAGTTTAAAGGCAAATTAAATATGTTTGCATGTAGTTAAAACACTTTCGCTGTGAAGTAACTTTATACACGTGGGTTTTATTCTGCATTTCAAAGGAAGCAAGGTTTATGCAGCACCTGCTACAGTGCTTGTCTGTCAGCCAGCTGCATTCCTTCATATGTAACTGGGCTTATCCACACTTGATTAAAGGTGTCATATATACTGAGTTCCTTTCCATTTCCTGAAGGGAGTAGGAGAGAGGGCTGATGAGTGCCACCGCCACAGTTCTGTTTGTAGAGTTCTATCTGTATGGACAAGAAGTCTTACAATGCCAGTCCCTCAGAGATCAGGCTTTCTGCCTGCACTGCACAGAGAACTAGTTCTTTGTTTTAATAAACAAACAAACAAACAAATAAGGTAAAACACATCTTTGCTTACATGCATTGCAGAGTTAACTTGTAGTTGCTCATGTTTTCCTGTCACTGGGTATTATTCAAGATAGGAACAGTTTATGGTAGGGATGCTGTTAGCACTCCTGCGTACCCTGCAGATTTAAAGATACAATGAGAGAGTTTCCATGAACTTATCAGTCTTAAAACTCCTACAGAATGCTAATGCAAAGGCAAGATAAATACAGAGTGCAGATAATCAGGCGGCAGAGCTTTTCCATCACTCCCCTCTGTGACTCACCCTGGCAAGGGCACCTCTCCTGATCCAGAGTAACCTCATGAAAATTCATCTGGGAAACACATTATATGTATACATGTAGAACACATGGACCTTATGTAGCACAGTCCAGCCTGGAAGCGACTCTTAATCTTAAGGAGATCTTAAGGATCTTAAGGAAATCTTAAGGAGAAAGGCAGAGGTTGGACCCAAACTCAGGGCTGAGTTCTTGGTCTGCCTGCTGACACCACAATGGCAGTTCACTGAATGAGCAGCATCCCAGCACAGGGACAGCAGTAAGACAGCGTGACCTGGCTGCACTTTAAGCAGAGAGACAACAGTAGCTCCTTGCTATATTCCAGTTACGTGCCATTCCCCTCCCTTTCTACAGACTCCTTAAAACCAATATTTGGTTCAGTTGAGATTTATTATTGCATCTAAAAATTATTTTATATATACATTTTATTACAGCTTTTACACTGCTTTTGAACAACAGGACTGTTTCACATAAATACGACTTTTGTCCTCTCAGCACCTGTCATTTATAAATTTTCACTTATTTCTGTAATATTTCCCAGGTCTTCGTAATTCCTGGCACTAACATGCTGTAGCTGTAGCAGCAGCTTCATCAGAGGAATTGTTGAGACAGTCTTCTCTTCATTGGAGCCACAGGTCTTGTTACAGCACTGCACTTCTATGGCGGCTCCTCCTCTTCCAAATCCTCGCCCTTCTGGATGATTGTTTTTAGAAAATCATTCTCAGTATGAAGTAATCCAGTAGTGAAGATGCATTCAAACTCCTCCTTCACCCATCAGTGGTGAGTTCCTTTGGTTCTGTGTCACTGCATTGTCCTTTGGGAACATTTCCTGGTGTGCTTTGTGTTTTCACTTTTTTATTTTTGGTAAGATCAGGGAGAAGTCATCATGATAAGAATAATGAATAAGAACAATAAATTTCGTACTGACTGAGGAATACAGAACGACCAGGTCATTCATCCCCAGAAACAAAACTAGTTTTTCAGGAACAGGTGAATAGCTGTTTGATGTTAGAAGAAGGAAAGAATGATCAAACTTAACAAAAGACCAAACACAAAGAGCTTTTTAAGGAACGTGTGACCTTCCTGGCAAACAGGTCTTGTTTTAAGATAATGATCCACCGAATCTGCAAATGAGAATTTCTTTGGTTTGTAACCAAGCTGATTTCGTGCCTTGTCTATTCGGAAAGTGTGAGTTACAGTAACGTTCCAGACCTAAAATCCAAAAGGACAGTTATGGAAGTGACTTCAACATCTGGTTTTATAGAACATCAACAAGCATATGTCAAGTGATATTACATGGAACTAAAAACATGAATAAAGATAGACACTCAAAAACATACATATTTCAGATTCTGATTCTCTCCAGAGCTAATAGAATAAGTTTATATTGCTGACAAAGAATCAAAGTGCAACAACACCCTTGGTGGACTGAGTGGAAAAGGAGTTTATGCCACTGATTTCTCAATTGTGACTGATAAGCTCTACAAGAAAGAACTAAGGAAATCCCCCACAACAAATCAACACACTTCCCCCAAACTGACTCATGTGTACAGATAAATATATAATGGAATTGTATGTATGTATGTATTGTGGTGGTGTGGCTTCCCAGTTTTGCAGAAATGCACATCTAGAACTGGAAAACATTCACTTCTGCATGGATATATCCTCCATGTTTGAAAGCAGGGTACCTGTGAAAGCCAGTTGCACAGCCTCTTCATTTCTGCTTCAGATATAGAACTAAGGTAGAAATATAAAAACTGATACACGAATGTGGAATGACTGAAAAACTATAGCATCAGTTACTAAGGTCCATTCAATCCCTTCTGTTTCCTATTATGTTACATGCTAAAATACAGTGAGAAAAACCGTAGATGATAGATTGAAGCATTTTGATTTATACTATAAATCATAACATAATATAAAAACATAAGTTAGACAAAAATGAATTTGTCCAGATTTGTCCAAATTTTTGCTTGCAGGAAATTGACTTTTCATTCCAATTTATAATTATTTTGATAAGCTTTCTAATTATTGGCTAACCTTACAGTATGATGATTGCTACCACATTGACCTGAGATTGTACACCTTCCTTTAACAGCCAGTTCTATGGCACAGGACTGCTCTCTGGAAATGATGTAGTACCTGTTTTCTTCTTGTGCCAGCACCACATTTCTCGCTCTGTCTTGCATCCCTACGTGGTCACTCTGGACTATCTAGTCTTCAAGTGAGGATTAGTTTCTGATCATATTATAAGAGGTGGCCAGGGTGGCATGGAAAAATGAGGCCATAAATTGATTGCCTTAGCCCTGAATGGACTAACCCTTGAGCAGAAAGACAGAGCTTTAACAACATCAGTATTCAGAGGGCATATCACACATTTCATGAGAACTCTGATCAGAAATACATAAATATTCTCTCATGTTATATACTTACCTCATTCCTTGTCAAGAAAGGTGTGAAGCTGAAAAATGGCTTTAATGCCAGATGCAGATATTCCATCACAGCGGCTGTGAGACACAAAGTTACTTAATAAGACAGCTTGATAACAATAAACAGATAACATTGACATTACACATCCTATAATTCCTACTGACCACAGCATTCAATTAAGGATTCAATTAAGATACTGGAAGGCAGTGTTTAATTTATTAAGTACATGATGAATTCAGATTATTAATAGCCTTTAAACTGTATCTGGGTATTATTAATATCAAATGGCAGAAGTGAATTTTATAAAAACACTATGTATATAAAAACAAAACAAATCTAAATAATAGCACAGTAACCAAATATGTAGTTTATTATATTTACCTGATATATGAACCAGGAGAACAGGAATATGTATCCAGGGTTTACTGTATCCTAATTTTTCAAACTAGAAGGGACATAAAAGGAAAGAATAACAGAGAATTTGTATTGAATTGAGGATGGCAATGAAGAATGAAAATGGAAAAATGAATCTAAACTTTTCCCAATTAATCTTCCTATCAGTACATGAGAACACAGTACCACTCCCTCTTTGGTGTTCATCTTATACTCTATAAATTAAATTGTATGGCAAATGTGAAATAATGCTATTTCGAAGGGACAAGTGACCAAGCCAGAAACTGTATTTAGTCAGAGGCCCATAGTTCAGCTGAATTAATTTCCTTGCAAGTCTTTTCTGTGTAGGCACTGAAAGACAAGAACTTTAACATATTCCTAACATCCCAGCCTTTTGATTATAAAGTTATCTCTTTTTAACTCTTATGATAGAGTTCTAAATAACTTTCCTTTTTGTGCTGCAGCTGACAACAGAGAATTAGCTAATAGCTGTAAAAGGCCTCCCAGGTACTAATAGTAGCTTTCATGCACTTAGCTAAACTCTCATAAAACAGTAAGAGCCAAACTCCACAGCAATGCATATACAAAACTTTGAGATATGCTAGGAGAAAAGGACAGACTTAAGTTTTATCTTCGATAATTCAGTAATTAATGTGCATTGAACTTTATTTAGTTAGTATGGTCTTTTAGTTAACCACACGATTGGGGCCCATACATTCCATCAGAGCTATGAGTGTATGTAATACATACTAATGGAACTATCCATTCAGAAAATACGACGTTTTCACCATCATGTATGTAATATGCCTGTCCACTCTGTTAAAGAAGCAGAGAAAAACAGTTACAAAAACACAATTTTCTTTCTCTCACATAGCCACCTATCTTTGTTGATTTGCTGAATAGCATACCAGCAAACATACAATGAATTGACACACACCAGCTCAACAAATTACCTTCACTGGACTTCACTGTGATTTCAAACAGCGCTCACATTCTTTAGTATGTTTCAAAACCAGGAAAAAAAAAAGTCAAAATATCAACAGAATGTGCATGCATTTGCACTGCCTGTGTGCTTGTGGATCCACACAAGAGTTTTGAGAATTTAGCACACAATCTTTTGGAAAACCTTTGATCTCAAAGCATCAAAAGTGAAACTTATTTGGGAGCTAAGTCTATTGGGATAGGATGCTTATTTTGTTTACTTACAGCTACATAATCCTTCTCAGAGGTGAGAGCCTCAGCAGCTAGTAAGTGAGCTTGTACCAGGTTTCCTACGTGAACCCAGTTCATCAGAACTTTGTGATTCCCAAACTTGAAGTTAAACAGTCTCCGTTGGATATTTACCTATAGGAAAAAAAAGAAAAAGAAATAACTATATGAAGAGTGTTTATTACACAGTATAATTATTGTCATTTTGTCTCAGCCTGAATGCTTAGAATTTGCTGTATGTGTGCACAATTACAGCACGAGGATTGCACTGCAAGGAAAAAGAACAAACAAGGAGGGTTTTACAGATTCAGGACTGTTGCCCCGATATGCAGCAGTGAAACAGGATGGCATGATGGTGTTTGGATGAGAACGTACTGTTCTGAAAATGAAAAGCGCATTTCAAAAACCACTCTTTTCATTAAATGACCAGGAATGTAAAGCTAGCTCTTCTACCACGGTGTTTCTGCTGTGCAATTTTTTTCCACCTAAAACTACAGCTTGGTCCTTGCCATTTCTCAGCGCTCACATCATGCTATTTGTGATCTCGCGAATCGCCACCAAGCTTTCCCCACTTTTTAAGGTGGAACTGTAGAGCCTTGGCTTTCCTTGCTCCGACGTCCCGCCCTCACAGCCCCCTGCGGCGCCGCGCAGTGCTGACCCGTGCCTTACAGCTACCGTGCCTTACAGCTACCGTGCCTTACCGCTACCCGTGCCTTACAGCTACCCGTGCCTTACCGCTACCCATGACTTACAGCTACCCATGACTTACCGCTACCCGCGGCAGGTGGCGCTGCTCCCCGGGCCCATAAATGCCTGGCGGACGGAGCACGCAGGTGCGGAGCTTGGCGCCTCCTTGGAAAGAACAGAGTGCGATTATCGGATAGCTTGGACGTCAGCATGCGACAGGAAAATCACATATACTGTTTGAATTATACATTCTGAAAGTAAAGGATCAGTCTGACCGTTCTACGTGATTGTGCTTCCCGTTGTTTTCATCTCTGTATAAAACTGAATTCGGTAGCAGTGGGAGATCCTTCCTTTGCAGCCTGGGAAATGAAATCCCTCTCACACACAACCTCCCTGTGCCTATGCCTCCTGCTTGAATGAATTTTCCTTTCTTCGTTATAGACAAAAGTTTACAGAATACTTCTGTCTCCATAATTGCAGACACGTAATGCAGGAAGAAAAACATTCCATTCACTGTATTTAGACACTTTGCTTGCTTGAGGCTCAATGGCATTGCAAAAGAATGGAAGAGGTCTCTTAAACAGAGGCTTTCAGATTAGTCAGAATACTCTAAACTAAAATGAATACTTCAAGCTCTACACGTGAATCAGTACACAGACTGGGAACAGGCACAATTCCAGCTCTGATGTGGGAAGGTTTAGCAGGTGGTAGGCATTTGCTCAGTACGTAATCAGAGATGCTAAAGCTGCATCCCCTTCTAATGTTTATTTATGACATTTCAGTTCAGAGAAATTGGCAAGAGTAGAACAACATGAATACAAAAGCAAGGCTAAATATTTCTCTTGCCACACACACATCGATTTTCTGTCATAGTTATTCATACATATGGAATGTTAGAAGTCAACATGATCCTGATATTGCCAATCTGTTTAAGAAGCAGCAATTATTTTTGCAAGACGACAGCAAGCTCTTGGGGATTATGAGAATGATTTATCAGACAGTGCTGAGATGTTCAAAGTGACAGAAAGAATGGGCAATAAAAGCACAAATCCTGTAAAGTTGGTAATGTTTTAAAATGATTTGAAGAAGTAAGGCAACATAGGCTGGATTTTCCGATCTGTTTGTACACAATTTCCTGTCTGGCTCAGTATGAACATACAAAAGTCAGTCATCCACTGAAGGCAGGTTTATTTCAGCTCATTTTACGTATACTATTTATTGATAAGCCAGTAAACAGAGAAAGGAATAGCACTACTAATGGTAGTTAAAACCCAAATGTTTTAGAAGTACCTTTTAGCAAAGTCCCATTAGCAGCAAGAACCATTTGGTCTGCAATTGCCTTCGTTCTAGAGTAATGATTAAAATGCTATAAAGAAAGGCAGAATATGATCAACATTTTAATCACATTATTGTATCTGTGAAGGCAGACAATGTTTATACCTGATAACAGCTAAATCTAGCCAGTCTGTAGACATCTGCTTTTAATATAATTAAAGCTTTACATAGTTAAGTTAAATATGAAATAAAACAAACTAGACTTTCCAAAAATGTTTCCATTTCCTACTGAAACTATTTATATATTTCTAAATAAATATATTTGATATAACTATAACTATATAATCATAAACACTTATCTCTCACTTTTATCTTTTACTATTAACTTAGTAAAATGCATCCAAGTGTATTAATTGGGATTCTGGACACAGCCCATGCTGGCTTGGTGGTTACTTCTCCACACTAGGTGACTTAGACATCTCTTGAATTTTGTATTCCTATAATTTATACTGAAAATTATAGCTAAAAGTTACAGTACAGTTGCACCTTCCTTCCTGCACCATCTACCTCTGCTGCTTGCTATTTCATGGTCATCATCAAAGAAAACATATAATTAAGGCTCAGAAACATGCAACTAATTGTGAATGCCTCAAATGCTGTATTAGAAGCCTGAAGTACTGTGCAGGCTTTGCACTGACATTTCCAACTAACTATTTCAGGAGGCTTCAACAGAGCAGTAGTCAGTGCTGTTAGGATTCTTGGACAGTCTGAAATTACAGCTTTCCACTGCAGGCAGGCTGCTGGGAGCAGGAAAGAACAAATGACAAGCACAGAAGAGGCCAGAATGCATTGAACTCCAGATTTCAGCTAGAAAACATTCCTCAAAGTTTATAGCAAAGAAGGCAACTATTTCAGAGCAACCATGAGGTGATGTAAGAAAGCATCAAGAAAGCAAGTTTTGGAAATACCAAAGAGGCAATAATGAGTGTGCATAAAGATGTGGAATTTGATATTTAACAATATTTTTCATTGCAGTGGCTCACAGGGGCCGTGATATTCAGCATTTACAGAGCAGCTGGTTCCCTGAAAGCCCTTCCTCTAAAAATCTTCCCAGGAAATGTCAGATTCCATCTTCTTTAATCATCTTAGATATTTTAACATTCTCAATCTGGCTACTTATAGTATATAAAAGTAACAATGATTTGAGTATCTCTTCATTGATACGGGTCAATTTTTATTAATGAAAAATAACTCCATAGAATTTAATCTAACTTAATACTTCCAGATCAACCTTCACTTAATCTGCTCTTCAGAGTACAGCAGATGTCATACCATCACATGAACAAAGTACCTTTTCCAGCGGAAAATACGGCACAGTTTCTTCATCTCCTTCTTCAATAGGGTTCCCTCCAAATACCACGTTCACTGTACTGGTATAGATCAGTCTGGGGATATTTCTTTGTTTGCAGACTATAATGTTATAAAAAATGCATTGTTTATAACAAAAATAAAGAGTGAGAAACAATATATGAGCTGGAAAACGCTTTTTGAAAACAAGTGTTACACTTACAGAAAAATAATTTTTTAAAACACAATGGTGTCTTTCATTCAGGTGGAATTTTTCATCTCAAATACATGCTGTTCAAATATTTTATACTGCAATCATGAAATACTTCAAATATTCACAGCTATCGTGTCTCCACTACTGTCATCTCCTGGACAGAGGAAATCTCTTGGCAGGGAAAATAAAGCCTGCTTTCTTTTAAAAACATGTATTTTAAAATGTTGATTTTACAAGCTGAATAAGGAGGAAATGAGTACAAATGTTTCTGGTGATCTAGCAGCTCTGAAAACCTCTGCGTCTTTGCAGGGGTAGGGATTTGGGACAGCAGCCTGTCTGCAGACCATCATTTTTGTCCTGCAGAGTGCAGCAAGCAGTTCTGCTTCTCGCACCACAGTTACACGGATATCCACATAGGCCAGCAGTCATATCAGAAAATGTATTAGCTCTCTCCAGTGTGTATGACAAAACTCTGTGTCAATCTTTTCGTAAGTGACAAACAGCCAACAAATGTTAGCAAGAAACACACACTGTCAATATATAACCAGTGGTACACTAAATACAAATGAAACTGGTATAATTTCCAAAACAAAGTCTTAATTAAGGATTCCAGCTGAGAGTAAGTTGTCTAAAATCTGCTGTATATGTCATTGCAAACGTCAATAACACACATTTCCTTTTGATTTACCAATGCTTCTAAAGTTTAAGTGAATTAATATTAACAAAGTTACAATTTTTGGAATCTACACAGCAGTCAGTCCAGTTGGCTCGCTGGCTATTTTGAAAATAATAAAAGTAATTATTTGATGTAAATGTTTGGAAGAAAATATGATAATAAAATGTGTTATTAAAAAGTAGATTAACAGGGAGCCACAAGGTTCATACTCCTCCCAGATCCTTGCATTGTTAGGAGCCTACAGAAATATGACGGGACACGTTTCTGTGGGTTCAGATGTTGGGGTAAGGTAAGATGTTGTAACCTTTTCCCTCCAGCTTATTTAGACCTTTACTTGCCTGCCACTTCATGTAATTATTCTGTTGGTTTTTTTTTTGTTGTTTGTTTGTTTGTTTTAGTAATAGCCCACAGTAATCCCCAGGCAGAATGGAAATGGGTCTATATTAAAACTATTTTTGCCATTTTGCTTTTGGATTGTTGTTGTTTTTGTTGTTTGGGTTTTGATGGCAAAGCAAAGAGAAGGTAGCTTTGGAATTTACAATATACTTTGAAATGTTCTTTTCTGGAGTTGAATATACAGGAGGAAATCTGACATTTGTTAGCAGATATTAGTTAAAAATCAATATATAATAGAAAAGGGTCAGATTAGATAGGGTAAACAGGGATAGATATAGTAAAGTGGTAACATAACAGCTAAGTACACTTAGGACATTTATGGCACCTAAATGTTTACAACACAACAAAGTTTAATATCTCTCATGACATTTCTATGAAGAAAAAAGATCATTCTTCTTCATCACATAGTGAAAAGATAAACCATTACATGGTGGAGAGTTTAAGTTGGTCTGCCATGGGATGAAGTCCAGGTTGAAAACTCCTCAGTCCAATCCAGTGGCAAATCTCCTACATGTTGTAAAGGAATCTGTTTCACTCCATCCAAAAAGTTAATTTTCTGCATTAGAAGGATGAAATATTTTAAATCTGTTGTAGATTATCTTACATTAGGGCCCTGTTCTGTACACCTCGCTTTATATCATACTCTGAGATTAAGAGGGGAAGAGCCTCTTTTAAATGCCATACCAACACAGAAAATATCCAATTGGAAGCTTTTTAAATGCACTTGGTTTGGGTCAGATGCAAATAAAGTCTAGGTACATACCATCAATTATGACTTCAGTGCCACCAACATTTATGGATTCAATCTGCTCTTTCTTTTGAAGCTATAAAAAATTTTTGCATAAAATCTAATTAATTTATCAAGTCACATTCACAATAAAATCATTGCAACTGACATCTAGAAGACCTATGGCTTTGTTCTCTGTAGGTGTCACAATGTCCTGACATACAGAGATTTCTAGTAGTTCTCATTTTTAATTGCCTTGCTTTGCTTTGAGTAGTGCATTACTTTCATGCTTTAACATTTATTACCATAAGGAGTGCCTCCCTTGTTGCCTGCATGGATCACCTGACCTTCATAATCAATTTCTGTCTCACCTAAATACCACTTAACCATGTTCTCTGACTTCTGTATGCAGACAGATCTTTTCTTTCACAAGAATTAAGAGAGAAAATGTTAGGAAAATTGTACTTGCTTGTTCTAATCCTGACATTCCACAAGCAGCCACATGAAAAACACAGTCAGCCCCTTCACATGCTTTGAGCACTGCTTCATAATCCCTCACATCACCCTGTAAAATGAGAAAAAAAATGGATTTTGACTCATAGAGCTCGTTGCATTCTCCATACCATCAATATTCAACTATTGACGCTATTAACAAAAATTTCAAGTCATTCTGATCTATTTCTCATATCAGCAACTATCATTAAATTTCACAAACATGGAGAAAAATCCATGACTAAGACTTTTCTTAATATTGTATTACAAAACAATCATGACTCTTGATAGCCTCAATTACAACACATATTTTCACACTTAGTCCTGCAGGCTGGCAAAACTTGTTTGACTTGAATGGGAGCAGCATATGTTTGAGGGCAGGAGAATCAAGTCCAAATGATGCTAAAACATAGCAAGGAGAGTTCAGCTGTTTGCCAAGGAATCACCAAATTTGAGAACTCATTTTCTGATGCAATTACACCTTAAGATCTGGCTTCTGCCATCTGAACAAGTCATCTAAGCTTGTCTATCTAAGCTTTATTTTAAGTACTCAGACACACAAGTTTTGTTCAAGGTTAAAACGGAAGAGTATATACTACATGAATTTTAAACTGTATCAGTGTAAGTTAGTGTGGTATTTCAATGTATTCTATTCAGAAGATTTCCTGAGTCTGATTTAACTTACCTATTTAGCAAACTCAATGGAAGCAAACTTTTGGCAAGGCTTTGTATATGCATTTTTTTCTCACTGCATGAGAAAACAATCTATTTTGTTTATACTGGTCTGACTCCTCATTTCATTTAATGACTCTTCTTTCTTGTACTAGAAAGAACAGTGAACAGTCAAAGTCTGTGCCTTTCCATGCCTCTTACAGTCTGAAGATCTTCCACTCTCAAATCATCTATTTCCAAGTCTGGAAAGCCCTGGTTTCCTTAATCATGCTTTGTACTGAAGTTATGCTACATATGTGATCGTTATTTCCCTGTTGTGCTCTCACATTTTTACTCCAAATAACTAGCTAGAGAAATAAACGTTACCACTTCCTTGCTCACTCCTTCATCTAGGTTAAGTATGAATGGTGCATAACAAAACAGGACTCTTCAGAACTTCACTGGTGACACTGAGAGAACTGACCACTTGGACTCCTTCTGCTTGCTGTCTTTTAATCAGTTACTTATGCATGCAAAGACCTTTTACAATGACTTCTTACTGTCTTTAAAACCATTTACAGAAAAAAATTTATTAAAAATTCCTAAAAGGAAAACTTGCTAATGTGCATAGAAGTAGTATGACTTATTTCACTGCTGTTAAATATGCAGTTTCAACATACCTTGAAAAAATCTGCACCATTTGGAATTTCCCATTTAGGTTTTTGTACGTCAAACAGAACAACAGCAACTCCTGCCTTGACAAGAGCACATCCCAGATTGTATCCCAGGTAGCCTCCACCTCCTGTCACCACTGTCCTTCTGCTTCTAACCAGTGGTCCGGTGTCCTCAGTTAGTTTGCTCTCACATAGGAGGTCCCTGTGAAGCTCCTCTGTAGACCCTTCTTGCATCACGGCTGCAAGATAAAAAGTCTCTTGAAAATTCTTGCATGGTACTCTGGAATTTAGAGAATTTCAGTAAATTTCATGTTATAATGATCCTTTTGTAACTATACTATTTTTATTTATATCTATTTTATTATCTTAATATGCTTAAGTTATGCATATTCATAATTTTGGTGACAGTACTTTAATGTAAAATTTGTAATGAATCTGGATACTTTTACATTCGAATAAAATCTTTTCCTCTTATCTATTAGTTTTGTGTTATATAGAAATGAAGAGAAACTACAGGATTCTAGAGATACCACTTCTTACCAACTTCGGTTGATATTTCTTTTCATCTGGTCATTCGTATACAGCTGTTTTATGTACTTCTGAAGACTGATTTGAGTATCATAGATTGATCATTTGAGTATCCAATAGATTGGATATTAAGAAGAATTTCTTCTCAGAAAGAGCGGTTAGGCATTGCAGCAGGTTGCCCAGAGAAACAGTGGAGTCATAGTCCCCAAAGGTGTTTAAGGAAAGGGTAGATGTAGCACTCAGGAACGTGGTTTAGTGGACAGTACTGGTGGTGGATGGATGGTTGGATCAGATTATCTTAGAAGTCTTTCCCAAACCATAATGATTCTGTGATTTTATGGTTATTCCGTGATACACGATTCCACGGGAGTTATCAGTCTATACACTTTCTTCTGGATGAAAAGTGAGTTTATTCTACAAGAATCGTTTCTCTTTAGGTAGGCACTCATATTCAGCAATTAAAATTAACAATATTCCAAATCATGGTATACTCACAAGAAATTAATTTTAACAAGTTAATTAACAAATTAATTTTCCTGCATCAGACAGCCCTATTGTCTTGATTCCCTCGTGTCCCCAGACAGAAATCCAGAGTATATACACCTGAAAACATTCAAATTAAGTACCAGTAAAGTGGGAGGCAAGCTGTGTGCCTGCCACTTTAGATTAAAAAGTATGGACCCAATTCATGCAAATTACTGTGGTTCTCTCATATTCAGGAATGGGTCCAGATAGCAACATCCCCACACATTCCTCAAGAGTATTTGTACAGCAGTAGGGCATAGGTTTTACTCTCAGTCATTTACATTGGAGTTCAGCACAGATTATGCAGAACTGGTCATGTCTGGTAACTGACAGCTGCATCACTTCCAGAGTGACAAAGAAATACTAAAAAAAAAACAGAAAGTGCATCCCACAGTCTGTAACCCTGCAGTTACAGGCTATTTTGTCATCACTTCTTTACATTTTTAAAATTTTGTTTTTCATATTTTTCTTTTTTTTCTTTCTGCTCTGCTTTTCTGATTTCAGACACAGGGAAATCTGTAGCAGTCTCCATACTGGTATACTGTTTCATCACCAGTATCAGCCCACTAAATTCAAAAGCTTGTCTCATATGCCATAAAAAAACATACTGTTAAATGGCATATATTTGAATGCTGACACCTGATTAATATTTCCTCATATTTTAAGTTAGCTGTAGATCAAAATGCAAAAAGCATTCTATCACATAAGTTTGAAAATTCTGCTAGAAATCTCCTTCCTAAAAGGCACTGATAGAACATGAACACGCATCAGCCTTAGGTGAACTAGAAATTGACAAATTTTCAATATATACAATTGCATAAGAAAGTATTTCCAGAATCAGTAATGCCCTTGTTTCTGAAGATTATATAGAAGTTTATTTCTGCATTCTGCGTATTATGCATAGTTACGTCTTAAGCAGTATGTGTATGAGTTCTTAGCTCCTCTGCTGCCATTTCAAATTAATAAATGCTGAAATTACTCCCCCCTAGAAAGTTAGATTCAAACATTTCAGGTTTTTAAAAATAGCTAAAGAAATAGTAAATACCCTTGGTAGAATCCTGGATGTCAGCGTTCTCCCTGTGCTTCCTGTCCAAGTAAGACGATGAGACTTGTCTTGCTGAACAATTAGTAACACAAGGTGCTCAGGCAAACAGAGATGTTCAGGTGTGCTCAGGTCCTTTTGTTGTTCCTGTTTCTTTGTAGTTGGTGGCTGGGCTGGGAGCCAAAAATGGGCAGGGCTTAATTTGTACATAATTTACATTCCTTTTCAGGAAAAAAAAAAAAAATCTCCACATCAGATCCTTCTAAATATCTTAATGTTACCTTGTAAAAGGATTGCTAAGACACTAGATAACACAAATATATTATTGTTACATCATTCTGTAGATAAATGGCGCTAGATTACTAAAACATCTCACCTGGGGTTTACAAAAAGTACAGAGAAAAAGGTTCTTATGAAAAACTGGAAAGAAAATCTTAACACTAATGCTTGAAAACAAATTTATCTCTCACAGTTGTGTGGCAGCCAGTCACTAGTGGTATTCCCCAGGGGTCAGTATTGGGGTGGTCCTGTATAACTTCTTTATTGATGATCTGGATGAGGGGACTGAGTGCACCTTCGGTATGTTCACAAATGACACCAAGCTGGCAGGAAGAGTTCATCTGAGGCCAACTGTACGAGCTTTAACAAGATCAAGTCCTGGGTCCTCACTTGGGTCACAATAACCCCAGGCAACGCTACAGGCTTGGGGCAGAGTGCAAAGCTGCAGGGAGAAAAGGGATCTGAGGCTATTAGTGAACAGATGGCTGAACATGAGCTAGCAGTGTGCCCAGGTGGCCAAGAAAGCCAGTGGCATCCTGGCTTGTATCAGAAATAGTGCAGCCAGCAGATGCTGGAGGTGAGGCCACACCTTGAGAACTGTATTCAGTTTTGGGCCCCTTACTACAAGACAGTGAAGCCCTGGAGCATGTCCAGAGAAGGGCAACAGAGCTGTGAAGAGTCTAAAGCACAGGAGGAGTGGTTGAGGGAACTGGGATGGTTTGGTCTGGAAAAGAGGAGGCTCAGGAGAGACCTCAAGGTTCTCTACAGCTCCCTGAAAGGAGGCTGTGGCGAGGTAGGGTTGGCCTCTTCTCCCAGATAATATGGATATGACAAGAGGTAATGGCCTTAAGTTGCACAGGGGAGGTTTAGGTTGGATGTTAGGACAAACTACATCCCAGAAAGAGTGGTCAGGCACTGGCACAGGCTGCACAGGGAAGTGGTGGAGTCACCGTCCCTGGAGGTGTTCAAGAAAAAGACAGATGTGGTGCTGAGGAACGTAGGTTAGTGGACATGGTGGGGGTGCACTGACTGTTGGACTAGATGATATTAGTGGTCTTTTCGAACTTCAGTGATTCTATGAAATGTTGGTAGGATATCTCTCAACCAGTAGCAGATTGAAATGAAGTACATTTCCCTTCTACCTACACTTTTCAATCTAAATTTGGGTAGAGAGAAGAAATAAAAATCTTGTTTGGCTGATACTTAACTCTTTCATCTTGATTTTTCTACATTCATCTCCAATCCAATTTTTTAGGCACAAGAGTTATTCTCCCATTTCCAAGTGAAGTATAGGCAGCAAACTACCTGGTACACAACGGAAGAGGAAAAGGAGATTTACTCTTAAATAAAGCATTTAAAATTAATAATAAATTAAATGATTAATTATTACAGAAGTTCTCTGATTCTGAGATTTTAAAGTACTTCTAAAGCACACAACCTTTTAGAAGTTAAACAATGAGAAATCAAAACCAACATTTTAAAATAGGTGTATCTAAAACTAGGCTTCTGTAGTTAAGATGCTAAAGGAACACTCCCAAATCTAAATATAAATTACTTCTATTTTAAATGTTGGCATATTAGGAATATCTCGTAGGTGACTTTGTAATTTAAATACAATTTAATGGTCATGTGTTGACAAGCACACAGACCAACACCTAGACAAACATGTTTTAGTACAATATATATGCATTTCAGTCCTTATAGTCTGCATTAGAATCTTCTAACCTGTCAAGTAAATTTGCACTTCTCAGATTGCAAAACCCAGATCAGTAAAATCCTCAGGAATACTAAATTCTCTCTGTTGAGCTAGCTACAGCACTGATAGGTTTCACCATTTTATCTGAGAAAGTTAATCTGTCAATTCTGGGACCACTAAAGAACAACCCCACAAGTCACAGCACCTGGTCAGTACTGCTCAGTGAAAATCAACAAGGGGTGCTTTAATTTGACTTTGGGTTTCCCTTTGGCCATAAGGAGCCAATTCAGAAGAGCTTCCAGAACTGCTATTTTGTACCTCACTCTTAATTAAGAATACAGGTAGTCGTACTTTATTCCCTAAATCCTGCTATGCCTTGTTGAAAGAAATAGAAGCTAAAGTTACAACAAGAAATACTGCTGCATTAATACTTTGGGTCTGGAATGACAGCTCATACAGAGCTTCCACCTTTGTGACCATCTGCAGTTCATACAGGCAGACAGAAATAAGCAAACAGGCAGCACTTTTAGGAGATGGCTGCTGAAAATTCAACAGGAAGAAACACAGCAGAAAGGTGTCAGAAAGTTTGTTACGTTGTTTACAGAGACAGTTCACATTTCTGAAGTGTCATGATGGTTTATCAAAACATTACTCACATCCAGTCTGTAAAGCAATGTTGAAAAGTAATTGCAATGTTTCATAGAGGAATCTAGTACACTTACACAAGTTGATTTTAAATTGTATGCTGATAGGACCACTGATATGTCTGAATTGAGTGAGTAGGATCCAGAGCCTGGTTGAGACAAGATGCTGCATGTCTGCAGGACACAAAGGAACACACGTTCCCACCTAGTGCTGTGGGCACCAGTGCTGAATCACAGAGTCACGGAATCACAGAATGGCCAGGGTTGGAAGGGACCTCAAGGATCATGAATCTCCAACCCCCCTGCCACATGCAGGGCCACCAACCTCCACGTTCAATACTAGACCAGAATGCTGGACCACAGAGGGATGTGGTATTGCTAAAAGGATAATATAGTTTATTTTCTTTATAATGCTCAAGTTTTCAGCCCACCCTGTCATCAAAATGAGAAGGAAATAATGCAACAGGTCACTTTAAAAGAATCTTAGAAATAGAAAGCCAGACTAGAGAGGATGAGCTAAGAGTTGTCTTTGTATTCTACCTTGAGGCCCAGGCATTTTTGTTTTTGAGTCTACTGCCAAATTGTCTTCCTTTGGAGAGTCATCTCTTAGGCCATTATTGTTTCTTATCACAGTTCTGACTACATAAAACAAGTCAACTTATAAAGTTACAAATCCACTCCAGTCTCCAGTTCATCACTGGAGGCACAAGAAAAGACAAATAATAAAGACAGAAATGAATAATAATTTAAAAAAAGGAAATAAAATATTCATAAGCTTAAAAAGGAAGATGAACCTCACACACAATCTCACAGCTATCAGATTGAAAATGGTTGTATTATGGATACAATTGCACATTATTTCTTTTAGTTTAAAAGATAAATCACAAAGGACATATGCTCTGGCAACTCCTTCAGAAATAAATACATCCCTCATCAGTGAACCTATTTTTTAATGATATAAGAAGAGATGCTAGAGAGAGGAGAGAGCCTAGTGGTTGTCAGAGTTGACAATGGTCTTTGTCTACGTCTCTACTGTAGGATTTGCAATGGAGTTTTAAGGTGATGACTTGGATGATGGTCCATTCGCCATCTGGAATGGCATGTATCAGCAATTAAGACACATCAGAAAAGTGGAAGCAATAGAAGTCATCAAAAAGATATATAAAGAGAGTGACGGGACAGGAAAACAACAGTTAGCTATGAGCAAGGCAGGACTGCATTTTCAGGCTACAGGAAGGGAGTAGAGCTCTGGCTCTGGCTGTGAAATAACAAGAACCCGAGTAAGAGCTTTTAATTGTGTGGAAGTTGTTATACAGAAAGGAGCCTTTAGCAGAGATGTAACCTAAACATGAAGAACTAGACATAAGTCTGAGTTAACTTGACAACCGGATGTTTGTCCTGAGTCATAGGCAGGATTACATGTTCTGAAGTGCCCAAGGGCAGAAGAACAGTGGAAAAGCTTAAGAGACTGAGCTCTCTCCTAAAGTTACACTGAGCTGAGAATGTCCACGCTAAGGCAAGAAAACAGGAGTGAGACATGAAAGACTGAAGTGGCAAGTGAGTTGCTCACATAAAATGGTTATTGAGATTGTCCAGAAAAAGGAGAGCTTGATAGAATTATAAAAAAGGGTGGAGGTCTTCCTTAGGTCATGTTCTGAAAAATCTAAAGAGACAGAAAGGAGAAAAAGGAGATAACATGATTGAAACAAGAGAGAACAATATTTAAGATGAACATGGGGCACTATACTGAAACCAGAGGCAGACCTGATCTTCTCTGCCCATGTCCTAATATGTATGAGAACGATGAACAAGGGACACATTGCCATCTCGCCATGAGACAGCCTCAGAAGTCTTGCCAGTTAAAAGAGTGGTCAGAAAACCACACTGTTGTTCTTTTCCATCCTATTTCTTTTTACTGTAATCAGATCAAAAGCTGTGATGACCAAAGAGGATAGACGGCAGAAGTATGTATAGTGAGGTAAAGGCTGATTGCATCAGGAGTGACCTATGAAACTGAGTGTTTGTGGTCATCACTGGTACTATAAATTGCTATCTGGTTTAAATGCTCCACCACTGACTTTGGTTGAGTTCAAGTGACTCAAGTTCTTTGTGGCAAACAGGGCATGAGGATATTATACCTGTCTCACTCTTCTCCCAGCGTGAAATCAGCATGAAATGATGGTGTTTACTCAGGCCAGAGAGCTAGGAGACCTACACAGCCTCTGTGACTTTACAGAGCGATGAGGGACCAAAACATGGAAGTACTAAGAGACCAACATTAAAGGACTGCAGTGAATCTATAGAAGTTGCTCATTGCTTTGGTATACTAAGCCTTGAGATATGAGATAAGCCACTTTGAGGGCTTCTTTTTATGAGCTGTAGTGCCGTTTGTTTACATGTAAAACTAAAATGAAGAGGTGCTCCTGTCTGAGCTAGAAAGGAGATGAGTTTAGAAACAGCCTGGATACTGTGGCTTACAGAAAGCATTTGGAAGCAATAGTTCATTTCAGTTGGCTGAGAGGTAATCAAAGAAAAAGGTACAACACTTCAAGACTAGTGCTTGGTAACATCTTTCACATCACTTCCTTTAGTTTCAGATACTAGTCTTTAGATATGTGACATTATACAATGTAGTATAAACAAAGTATATTAATACCGACTGCTGTTCTAGTCTAGTTTTAATTGACCACTTAAAAATCTATGCCATTTGACCTTAAATTCTTTCTATATAATAAAGAATAAAAAGTCCTTATGCAGAGTTTGAAGAATCTGAAAGATTCAGGTAACTTAAAGGTATGGACACTCTTCTTCAATTTTATGTACTGCAAATAGGAGATAAAGCACTTGTTTTTCAGCCCTTACTAATACTGTTAGGAAAACTGTCATTTTCAAAAGGAAGAAAAAACATTTGTATGCACTGTTTCTAAAGCACTTGAAACAGACACAGTATTAATGCAACAATAGATGTTGATGCATACTGAAAGTATGCATCATTCAAATGACACATTAAGTACTGTAGGATAGCACAACATTCTTCACAGCCCTTGCTAATTTAGAAAAGTGAGATACAGAGGCTAACACCTTACCTGTGGTCATGCTGTAATTTCATCAGAGAAATATGCAGATTCTCATTCCCATTATTAACAGAAGGCGTATTTTCTGTACCTAACACAGCAAGAGAACAATGATATGCTAGGATTAAATTAAG